CTTGTGATGTTTGTGGAAAACAATTTAGTCATAAATCAAGTTTAATCTTACACATGAGAATTCACACTGGAGACAAACCATTTCTTTGTGATATCTGTGGAAAAAGATTCAGCCGAAAGTCTTATAAAGATGCCCACATGAGAATTCACACTGGAGACAAACCGTATCCTTGTGATGTTTGTGGACAAAGCTTTAGACAAAAGGCCAATTTACTCTCACATGTGACAATCCACACAGGAGACAAAGCATTTACCTGTCATGTTTGTGGACAAAGATTCAGCCGAAAGTCCTATAAAAACACCCACATGAGATGTCACACTGGAGACAAACCGTTTCCTTGTGATGTTTGTGGACACAGATTTACACAAAAGTCAAGTTTGAACTCACACATTAAAATCCACTCAGGAGACAAACCGTTTCCTTGTGATGTTTGTGGACACAGATTTAAACATAAGTCAGGTTTAAAATCGCACACGAGAATCCACACAGGAGACAAACCTTTTCATTGTGATATCTGTGGACACAAGTTTTGTCATAAGCCAAGTTTGAACTTACACATGAGAGTCCACACAGGAGACAAACAGTTTCCCTGTGAAGTTTGTGGTCAAATATTTAGCCGAAAGTCAAATGTAAACTCCCACATGAAAATTCACACAGGAGAAAATAGTTTAGCTGTAAAAAACACAGCAGCTCCTAAAGATCCACATGAGGTCACACAGAACTGAAAACACACAGTTCCAATGTTTATTTAATAGTTTATGTAGTGAGAACGCGTGGTCTCAGATGTCACAGTTAATGTTTTTATATGTATTTTGTAATTTTTAGAGATTATGACTGGGTGATGACACATGTGAGATAGTTTTATGTCATGCAAGGTCAAAAGTACAAATATTTTTTTAGAAAATGTAAAATAATTTTATAACTCAATGTTAATGATTAAGTACAAATTCATTTTCCCACGTTCTTTGAATCCATCTTAGTCCCTCCCACTCCCAGCTGGAAGCCACGCCCTCTTCCCTGTTTATTATCAAACTACAGTCTGAGCATGGAGGTGTATAAAACTACTGGAGGTAGTGGCAAACCTACTGTAGAAGCTAAGAGTCTGGATTTACCATCACTGTACATTGTGACAACATAGTGAACAGAAGTCAGCAGATTTGATCTGATTTAGCTCAATGTGAGCTGACCAGAGCTGAAGCTAATAATGTAACTATAATAATAAATAGCTAAAATAATCCCTCTTTTCAAGAATGGTGAAAATTTTATGTTCGATAATTACAGACCAATATCCTTGTTACCTTAGTTTTCAAAGATTTTAGAGAAATTATTTAACAGATTAGACAAATTTATTAATAAACAAAATATTTTAAGTAACAGTATGGTTTTAGAGCTAACAATTTGACATAAATGGCTTTTATGGAATTGATTGAACAGATAACTGCTGTTTACCAAAAACAGTACTGTGTTAGTGTTTTTGTTGATTTAAGGAAAGCTTTTGACACAAATGATCACACATTTCTTCTTGAAAAGCTAAATAAATATAGTATCAGAGGACCAGCACTGCAGTGGGAAATTATTTATTTGAAAAATAGGAAACAGTTTGTTCAAATAAATGATATAAGATCTGAACTCAGTAATATCACGTGGAGTTCCTCAGGGTTCTATACTTGGACCAAAGCTGTTTATTTTGTATGTAAATGATTTAGTAAATGTGTCAGGGTTGTTTAAATGTGTTCTGTTTGCTGATGACACATTTTTTTTGTTTGGTCATGGATATTGAACGGATGTTGGAAAGGATACAAAAAGAATTTGTAAAAATATAAACATGGTTTAAACTTAACAAATTGTCGCTAAACTTGGATAAAACTAATTACATGATATTTTGTAATAAAAAGGAAATATAGATTTTCCATTTAAAGTTGACGGTGTTGAGATTAGAAGAGTCAGTGAGATAAAGTTTTTGGGCGTTATCATTGATGAAGGGCTGACATGGAGAGCTCATGTGAATTACTTAAGAACAAAAATAGCTAAATCTGTTGGAGTACTGTATAAAGTAAGGGAGTTATTCAATGATAAAGCTCTGTTTATAGTTTATAATACAATAATTGTTCCACACTTGATTTACTGTGTTGAAGTCAACAATCACAAATCCTATTTTTATTTTACAGAAAAAAGCAGTAAGAATTATCACCAGAAAACATTACAGTCACCAATCGAATATATTATTTTCTAAATTGAAATTATTTAAATTTTATGAGTTGGTTGATTATAATATTTTGCAGCTTATTTATAAGGCTCATAAAAAATGTTGCCTTTAAACATCCAGTTATATTTTGTTAAAAG